ACATCTAATGTTGCCACTGTGAGATGAAGATTAGGCTTTCAAAAAGAAAAAAAAAACTTGGCCAAAGCCCCGAGTGACTGTACCCCTCTTGAACCACCGGCGGGAGTGTTTTGCCAACCACAGCCTTGCACGTGCACCGGTGACGTCACGCTGTGACGTTCCCCGGTAGAGGTCTATTGTTGTACGTGGTTTTAGCGCAACACAGTCTTTTGTACGAAATGGGTGTGACGCACGCGCGCATTGGTATTTTTGTGGCATTCATTTAATCCCTTGTCATTTAACGAGCGTGGCAAGTTTGACACGCTACCAGGCACAGTTCCGCTGGCTTCAAATTTCTTCGCATGAAAAGAATGTGGACTTACCCGCATTCACAGAAGAAGGGACACCTGCAACGTTTTCCAAAGTGGCAGCTTTTTCCGAATCTGCAGTGTTTTCCGAATCTCCTGCATTTCCCGAATCTGCAGCTTTTCCAGGATCTCCGGCGACGTCCGAATCAGCAGATTTTTCAGAATTTCCATCGTTTTCCGAACCTGCAGCTTTTTCCGGATCTGCCGCCTCTTTTTGAGTCTGGCAACACCGACTTCAGATCGCCACAAACGTTGCATACTGCTAAAGTGTTCTAAAAAGGGGTAGTGGGCTGACTGGAGGCCGTGCACTGACGCACTTTATGTCTCACCTGGTAGATGGCACCACCACCATATGCAATGGAAGCGACGCGTTGCTGCTCTCGGCCAACGCAGCGCGAAGGTTAGTTTGCCAGCGCTTCAAGCACAAACTACTCTTGTGCAACCCCTGTTCATAGCCATTTTCGTTGCTTTTCTTCTTTTGCCTGAGCATATTCTTGCTCTGGCCGTCGTTCTGGCGCATGAAGTATCGCTAAACATGAGCGCGTCTTCAGCGGGATGCAATATACGCTGTAAACAGCCAGTTTTGTATTGCGCTCTCGCAATTTTATTGCCTTTAGATAATTGATTTATGAAACCACTTTCTGCTTATGAAGAACGCCGTAGTGGAGGACTCCGGAAAGTTTAACGTGCACTGACATCGATTGCCTTTAGATGAAAGAGACTAATGTTTTCATGATCACTAATTTAATAAGTCGCAGAGTGGCATATAAGCGGCTCACATTTCTACACCAATATGCTAGCGTTTGTACTCAATAGTAACTTTAGTGAAGTCGTACTCTCACTAAATAAAACAATATTACTACAAACTTAAGCACCTTACGCGCTCTCAGCTGATATTCTCCTGAAAAAGTGCAAGAAAATGTGTGGTAGTGCACAGAAGGAAAGACCTATTCTAATCACGCCCAAGAAATAAAAGTGAATTTGTAATGAAGGTGTGGAAAAAAATATAGACAACAATCGTTCTCGGGAATAAGTTAGTTTATTTGGTGGGGCAGCACAACGTTCGTACTCCACAAAAGCCATGCATATCAATCACTTTCATTTTTTTTCTCAAAGTGAAAGCAGATGGAAAAAGCTGAAATAGCTTGGAGAGGGCCTTGCCCCATTATGTACTTATCAGCGTGTGCGACAAAGAGCATGACTGCTAAAACAGCCAAATAGATGCTAGAAAAATATTCACAACTACAAATAATCACAAAGAGATGCTAAATATTTTCAATAGCACACTTGGCATAAAAAAGTTCACAAAAACACATGAACACTCAACACATATTGTTCACACAATAAGTAAAGACACTGAATCAGAAGAAATACTGAAAATGACAAATAATAGACACATTTCCATTCAAATAACATGCATTTTTATAGAGATCTACAGATGTTCTCGTAGATCATATTAATCACACTGTTGATGGTACGCCAAGGACCAAAGTCACCATTCACAATTGAATTAAGCAGAGTTGCCACTTAGTCAAGGGTTTATTGCTATAGTATGCATGGCGAGTGGCACCATACTATTTTGCTTGTTTTTCAAAGCCGGCATTCTCTTGTATTTGGGTCAGTGAAACAGAAAAAGAATATTCAGAAAGGATTCATACATCAAGTTTAACCTACACTTGTAAAATACACACAGGAACAATATTAAATTTTTAAAAATCTTCTAAAGCAAGGAAAAAATATTTAACAGCAGCGGCTTATCTTTAAGTGCTTTGCTTTCTGGCGTTTGCCTGCTCTGTCTGTATTTAGCCCCTTAATGTAAAAATGAAGTCGTGTAATAACATAGAATTGTATTATTTTTTGAGACAAGCATTGAGACATGGCACCCAACCTCTTGCCAAAGCCTTGCTTTCACAATAGTCAGCACATCTAAAATGCTGTCTGCATGGAGTTGTTCACAAGAAAAGCAGCCCGTGAACAAGTCTTCAAGCTTCTTTATGAACCGAAATAGGCAAGCACTTGGGTAGAGGAGTCCACCATTGTCACGAAATAGTGTCAACCTTGCAAGCTGAAAGCTTTCGTCTGGGGCAGGCGCGGAAATTAGTATCAAACAATCTTTACAATTGCTTTTCAAAATGAACTTTCGTGCCACGTAGCCAGCAATGTAAAATATAATTCTCGAGTCGCTCCTCGCAACATGCTGGCTGTGGTCCTGGGAAGGTATAACCAACGCCTGCGCATTCGGAGTAAAGCTCGGTGCCAAATCCATGCCTGCTGCATTTTGCGATGTGTCTCGTGGGCTACTAACTTCCAAAAGGGAACCTAGCATGCCCTCTTCGCAGTTTCCTTGACTGACACCTTTAACTAAACCATAGAATGACATGCAGTTTACTGTAATCAAAAACTGAGTTGGTGTTGGATGATCATTACTGCCAGAAGATTGCCTGATAATACCGAAAAGGTTTTACAAAGAATCCTGGCTAGTTTTTGCAGTCATTAGGTATTTAAAGCCATCATTTTCAGTGAGATAGTCAAGCAACTCAAGTGTACTCGAAATGGTCACACGTAGGCCAGCACAAGAAGTTGCAGTTTGTTACCTGCCAAAAACTTACAAATTGGACGAACTCTGTCCCTACACTGTGCGTTCGTCTCAGTCTTAACAATGGCATCCACACACTCCGAAATGCATCTGGGTCGCTCCTCTTCCACCACTTGCCTGGAAATGGACCGTGCTAACACCAACTTGTCCACCCGCTTGAGTGACGGCTCGAAACGAAACTTGGGACCAAGACCAAGAACATCAAGGTACTTGTCAGGAATTGTTGTGGCGCTCAGGTTCAACACTTTTCCAGCTTGCGCAAGCGACTTCTTGCTCTTTGGAAGTAGCGGAAGAACTTGTCGCCAGATATACTCGGCCGTGTCATTGCTAGTGCGGCACCAGTCCCTGTAGAACGGCTGCCAGCTAGTACCCTGAAACAAGCTTGCCGACACCTTCAACCAGTCCTTGTATCTCCTTACTTGCCAGAGCAATTCGGACCGCAGAATTCGGCACAATCTTCTTGAATGCCTGACGGAGGGAAGAAACCATCCACACAAGGCTTGAAGATCGGGAGGACAGGTTCCATAGCGAATGTGCCAAGATGCCACTCTTGCCTTCCAAATGCATACGGCAATCATTGAAGCCAGCGTGGCCGGGTCCGATACATTGAGGTGAGGAAAATAATTAGTGCCCTGGGTACTAGAAATGAATTGCAACAGAATCGAAAGTTGGGCTAGTTGGATATGCATGGTATAACTATCATTTAAAGCGCACGAAAAAAACAGACATAAAAAGAGGACAAGCGCTTTCTCGCAACTAAACAGTTTATTAGAAAGGGCGGAATATATATACAGGCAACTGAAAAACACGACTCATGCCTGTGCAGGCAAAAAAGTACATCAGTGGCACATCAAGAACACATGGTAAAAGAAGACAGATTATCTCGGGACATACTCAAGAAAAACAAACTCTTTATCGTGCAGCAAAACAGAAGGCTGTCTGACGCATTGTTCCCCTCTTTTTCTTATGTGAAACGCTTCTGTCAACTCGCGAGTTAATTTATTATTTGACCGAAAAACCACTTCAGTATCCTGAAAAAGAGGGTGACAACCGCACTCTCTGCAATGAGCCGCAAGATGCGATGCACCTACAGATTTCAAGGAAGAATCGTCCTCTCTGAGACGAACATTGACGCATCTTCCCGACTGACCGATATACACTTTACCACAGCTAAAAGGAGTCATGTAAACAACGCCCATTGCGCACTCCACGAACTTTTTGCTGTGCTTTATGTGACATTGCGGAAATTCTTTGCGCATGCGTGAACAAATAGACTGCAGTTTGCCTTTGGCTGAGAAAAGCACATCGACTTTATATCTATTAGCTAATTGCTTAAGTTCATGTGAAGTCTTATGAAGGTAAGGAATAACTGATATCCTCCTATCCTTTCTGCTCTCTTCACGACGCTCCGAGTGATTCCCTTCAAATTTAAGTTTCTTAATCATGTTGTTACAAACTGACGTAATGACATCATTAGGATACCCTGCTTCTACTAGTTTCTTTACTTGACTATGAAAGCTCATTTGCATTCTGTGTTGACAGGACTGCAGGCCAGCAGGCCTGCAGTCCTGTCAGCACAGAATGACAGGACTGTAGGCCAGCAGCAATGGAATTGCTCAGAAAGCCTCCTCCACCTTTCGTGTGCTGCTCCCATGCTTTGAGGTAGGACAGAAAATCCTGCAGCACTGCTGTTCCTGATGAACACGGTCTGAGGGCTTCAGCAGGGAACCGCGATGTCATCATTCTTATGAGCTGGTGGAGTTTGCTGAAATATGCAAAACAGCTGTTTTCATAATTTTGTAGTTTACATTGCATGATGCATTCTTCATAGATAAGAACGGCGCAAAACACACGAGACACAAAACGACGAAAAACACAAGGACGTCATTTTGTGTCTCGTGTGTTTTGCGCCGTTCATAACTATGAACCAAAATCAACTCGCCCAAATGTTGGTGCTAATGATGCATTCTATTAAGATATAATTTTCATTTACAAGTTGGTTACATCAGACATTTCACTACCTAATTTTAACCAGCATATGACAAGAGACGACTCACCTGAAGAACTCTTGTGCTACATCCATCCTTCCAAGTGTTGCTTCCAACTTGTCTTTGTATAGGTGGAAAGCTTGGAGGACTTTTGTCCCAAAAATCTAGAAGGCATAGCTGACCCTCATCTTCTCAAATCCATTAGGATCCAGGTGACACCGTGTTATGCCCGGCATCACTTTAAGGGTCACGTGGAAGGAGTCTATTTTGTGAGCTTCCCTTACATGTTGCATATCAACCTGCAATGAAATTAAGTGGACCATATTGAAATGCACCTGGTTAAGCTTGGAGATAATGTAAGCATATATGAAATCCAATGTGTGATATGCGTAAAAAACATCAGACTTACATGACCTGCAGGAGTGTTGAATCCAGACTTCAGCAGCGAGTTCCGTAGGCATTTGATGAGATGTGGGAAGTCAGATATAAAATATAGGTGCCGTGATGCATCACTGGGGTGTTCAATTTTCGAAGTAGTAGAGTCAGCTGTCGCTTGGATCCCAAGTACTTTCCACATATTTCTATTCTAACTTGCACCATCGCAAGTAATAAAATCCACAAAGAGCCCACTCTTTTCAGCTAGTATGGTTGCTTCAATGACCACTTTGGCGAGTGTGACCTTTCATGTAATTAATAACTTGACTCCATTTGCCTTTAAATGGGACGAAAAGGATAACCATACCGTGGTCACATGGTACACCTTTGTCCTTGGAAGTTGTAAATGGACCTAAATCCACAAAACCCTCAATTTCACCCGACTTATTCACTGAAAAATGTTCTGATAGTTTCAGTTCGTCGATGACCAATCCACCGTGTTTCTTCCAAACATCAAGCTCCGCTGTCTTTTCCTTTGGCTGCTTTAGAACTCTCTCACTAAAGCCAAACACAGTGTGGTATGCATGTACATAGCGCTTCATGGTTGATTTACATGGAAGGGCTAGGATGTTATTGCGACGAAGGTGTTCATACAGGCGAGGGCTCTTCATCTTCATGATTAAACAATCTAAAACCCAGCTTTTCGTATAGCGCAACCCATTGGGTTTTACTCTTGAAGCTGCAAAGCACTGTCGTACAGCTTCCTGCTGTCTTGGTGGAAGCCTTGCAGTCTGTGTTTCTAAAGTTTCTGTTTTTATAGCAGTATTCCTAATTTGCATTTGTTCCAGCTTCTTTTTCACACTTTTCAAGCGAGAAAACAATCTAGTGTTTCTTCTAGCCTTAACACGCAACTTCAGCGCTGCATATTGGCAATTCCTTGTTGCTGTTCGCTTCACCCGGGCTCGTCGGATTCGCAGTGCTCGTTTCAAATAGCGGCAAGACACACATTGTGCACCTCAAAGAAAGGTGCAGTGAATTAGGTTGCAATAACTGGCAAGAAATCTTTCGTAGCGACAAAAGTTATAGCTGTCATACTAGTAAAAATGCACATTATAAATACCTTTTTTATCAACCTGGCCAAGACACTTAATGCTGAAGTACATTTCGTTGCATGTAACCACATGGTCCTTTAGCTTCTTCGTAAAAAATCGTTCTTCATAGTCTTCGTGAGATATTGCTCCAACGCAAATGCACATACGATCACTTGTTTTCAGCACTTCTTCTGCTGCTGCCTCTGTTTCCACGGTGCCTTCTTTCAACAGGGTACCTCTGACGAACACTTTGCAGTAGCTCACAATGCGTGATTCAAAAAACATGACCACTTTTTTCCGATCGTACTTCATTCTTTGGTGTCAACACGGACGTGCAGTACACAATGCCTTTGTGATCTGGAAAGATGTGCTTAGTCTAGTGCGGCGATGGTACCTCAAGACAGCTAAATAACGACATAGACTTGCGGTCTTCCTGCGGATTTTCTGAAGAAGAAACTTCTACATCAATGGCCAGCTGTTCGTCTTCTGGCCTCGATGCTGCAGCGTCTGGATCCGGAGTATTTACGGCGTTTGTGTGCAACACCGTCGAGTTGCCACTCGTGCTCAGCCGGCGCTTCACTGGCGAAGCATGACTCTCAGACTTCCTTTTTCGAGGCGGCCTTTCTTTCACTGCTTTTTTGGCGAGATACGATGGCAAATTTGGCAAAATAGTGGGAACAGCGTCACTGCTCAACATAGGCCTCCCGCGTGGAATCCGCACTTCTTTACCGCCGATGGTGTGTACATAATCGCGAATTACGTACCGAGGCTCGAAGTGGAGTTCACAAACCGCACTTGTGTCTTCGAGTGGCTTGTCCGCACGGTGTAAATTATTCTCCCACAGTCTTCTGAGTCTCTCATCCGTGGGGACGAAGAACAGTGACGGTTTTGGAGCACCTTTCACGTGAACGTAGCCCGTCTGGCATCCGGGCGCATAACAATGGTTCTGGCGTCGTGGTGCCATTCCGCACTAAGTGTTGATGACCACGAGGTGTTCACTACCAATCTACATTATTCACAACTTTAAGAACTGAAAAATGGAACGTATTGACAAAGCACTGCTCGGCCGTAAACCTGCAGCAACGACGACACACAGCCAACACAGAAGCGGAGTGAAAAGGTGAAAACTCCCATTGCTGGCGATGGTAGCGCCGCCACGCGGGCACTCAAGAAAACGAAAACTCGTTGACATTTTTTGCGCTACGGCAACGTACCCTCTCCCCGTAGAGTGGGCTCACTACCCATTCTAGAACACTATAATACTGCGTTGTGCATCCAGCGCGTTTCTGGAGCTCCTACGCTAGCCACTCGCGCCGCGGAGCCTCGGTGGCCACTGAGATGGCGCCAGCGTCGCAGAAGACGGAGCAGCTTACCAGGCGGCTGATCGCGACGTCAGCAGGGGAGGGAATAGCAAAAGGGGCATTCATACCCTTCAATCCGTGCCAGCTCTTGCCTATCACCCAAGCTACACCACCACTCTCCCCCTCCCCCACCCGCGATTCAACAGTACTTTGCATGACTATAGTTATAGCGCGAGAACAAAACGACGACACAGAGACAAGAAAGACACGAAGGACAGGAGCGCTAACTTCCAACTTCGTGTCCTTCTTGTGTCTGTGTCGTCATTTTGTTCTCACGCTATAACTATTGTCATGCCATATCAACTAGCCCAAGCTGCCACACTTCCAAGTACTTTGCACCTCCCAAGACAAAAATCTTTCCGACGACCTTGCTGATCGCCCTGCAGAGTAGCGGCCGTGCTAGGACACTGAAAAAGAATATTGTGCAGAAGCAGCTCATGGAATCGGGACAGGACGTCCCAGGAGATACTGCGGAGAACGGGTCCCCCTTTCTGTAATGAAAAGCGGATAATCGGAGTGAAAAGGAGGAGCGAGAGCTGGTGAGAGACGCGCGTCTCTGTTTTGTCCCTTTGCTAAATGGTGCGTGGCTAATCCGTTGAAAGGATTACCAAACAACAAGTAGGCAGAAATAGAGGTAAACTTCGAAATACTTCACCGAAAGCGCAACTTCTACGATTAACAGATATCTCTCGCTGTTTCTGAACGATCGACAGCGTGCGACGGCAGCGAGCTAGCGCGAACCGTGTACATGATACCGCAGCGGGTGCACGATTTCCGTCCTGCTACTTCACTACATGTCACTTTCCCCCCCTTCCACAAGGGTGCTTACCCCATTAACCCCCCCCCCCCCCCAAAAAAAAAGATAAATCTAGTTTTTGGTTCGCTAAGCGTTACGGCTAGGTGGCGTTAGCCGCCGCCCGATTCAAAGGGTACAGCCATATTGTTACGTGATTTCGTCTGACTGAAAGAGGGCATAGTGGGGCATACCCAAGTAAGGTGCCTCAGACTGAGAGTGAAGAAGTGGACGTTGTCGGTGAGCTGCGTTGTGGCTGCGGACTGACAAGTGTTATTTTCCACGTAACATTTTGGTGGAAGTGCTGGGTGCTCTTCTGACAACGGAGCTACGCAGTGGACGCCTCCTTAAGTCTGCTACCATGGCTCCGGGTGAGGATATGGCTTCGCCACCTACCTCAGCAACGACAGCAACCCGGTACGTCGCCCTAACGCAACCCCGTGATCCCGGTACTTTTACGGGAGAGGACAACGCGAATGTGGACAAGTGGCTTAGCATGTACGAGCGCGTCAGCAAGCAACATGGCTGGGACCCAACCGTTATGCTTGCGAATGTCATTTTCTATCTTGACAAGATCCCTCGCATCTGGTTTGAGACCCACGAGCACGAAATCACAAGCTGGGAAATGTTTAAACAACAGCTCCGCGACCTTTTTGGCAACCCGTTAGGTCAACAGCTTGATGCCCGAAAGCAATTGGCTGTACGTACACAGACGTCCACTGAGCCCTACTTGACTTATATTCAAGACGTCTTAGCGTTGTGTCAAAGGGCCGATACCAACATGACTGAGGCTGACAAGATTTCGCACATTTTAAAAAGAATCGCCAACGATGCGTTCAGCCTGCTTGTATTTACCAACGTAACGAACATCGACGCCGTGATCAAAGAGTGCCGCCGTCTCGAGCAGGCGAAGAGTCGACGCATTTTGCAGCAGTTTCAGCGCCTACCCAACACCGCGGCAACGTCGTCTTGCGAAGCCACTCCTTGTCATCCGTCTACAACCGAAGACGTGACGCGCATCGTCCGACGTGAACTCGAGGCCGCTTACCCGGCTGCCAACAAACCGACGTTGCCCGACGCCTCAACGCCAGCTGTCGCCTTGATCCAGGCTGTTGTCCGCCAGAAATTCGCTAACCTTGGTATCCTGTCCACTGCACCCACACTGGATAATACTGGTCCCTCGATAGCTTCTGTGGACATGAGACGTCACCGTGCGTACTCTATTCGAACCAGGAACCCGTCTGAATGGCGAACAGCTGATGATAAGCCAATCTGCTTCCGCTGTGGTCGCGCAGGACACATCGCTCGTTACTAACGCAGCCGATGGCCATCTATGTCTTCTGGCTCGTACCCCGCTTACAGTAACTCATTCCGGCCACCAAACCACCGTTATCCGACCCGCACTGAGTCTACAGCATTTACTGCCCCTGAGGACTACGGCCACCCTGTCCCGTCGTCGCCACCGCCTCAAAGCC